TCGGTACCATCAACCAGTTTCTGTCAGACTGGTTTGTGGACCAATTTGACAAACAGTGGTGCTTTCCACGGCACCCATAGCTTTTCCCATCTAAAAATGAACTGATAATACAGAACTTATACTTCACACTGGCTTCCAATATTTCAATACATTTCATCCTCATCAAAGTAAAAAAATATATTGCATATATTCATAATAATATATTTAAGTTATGTGTAATTATATAAAATTGCTTTTAATAGTTTTCATAGCTAATATAAAATTCTATTTATCTCATGTTGATTATATTTGAGACTTTTGTAAATCATGTGTAAATATGTCCACAGATTGCCAAAGTTGATAAAATAATTATTAGGAAATGGGAAGGAGTAAGAGAGCGTCAAAAACCTACCCACCTGCCCAAACCCGGGGGAGGGAATAAAATGTTGCTCCCTTAGACATTTTAATGGGTTTTCATTGTTAGGAACAGATACAAGATATTGATCAAGCCTCAGGTAACTGCCCAAAATAATTTGTTTACAATTACAACACTGCTTTCCCCCAGAGCAATGGATATCACTCTGACACTGGGATGACACTTATAAAGGTGTTTTGTTTACAAGTTCAATTATAGTTATGCATAGAGCGCCAACATATTCTGCAGCGCTGTACAACAGGTAAACAAAATAAGCACTTAATTCCAACAAAACATGTTTGACATGTAGGAATAGTAGATGAATAAAGCCCTGCCCAAATAAGCTCACAATCTAATTAGTTTTTAACAATAAGCTCACAATCATATAATTTTTTCAAGAACTGGTCACTAAACTAATACCACATAACAGTATACAATTTAAACTCATGTAAAAAAAAGTTAAGAATATAATATCATTGAGTGTTTTTTTTCTTCTCTTGTGGTGAATTTAAAACCAATTGTGAAAGGTAGACCAATATGGCTAAAGTAAAAAACTTGTTCACCGTTTACTAAATAAACCCTTTCGTTTTACATCCTATGCACTAAACAGAGAAATGACTCAAGCTTAAAGATGAACAATCTTTTATTTTACAGAAAGACTAAAGCAAACACGACAAAGCAGTGGGAATACATGGATTTATAGAAACTGATTAGAAGTAGAAGCTTTGCCATTCCATTTTAGGTGAGGCCTTATTAATTGGTTTATAAAGTTTCGGATCATATTCTCTATAAATAAGTAATCTGACAAATACAGACCAAAATAGCGAATAAGAAAAGAATCTTTAATTTTCGCTGAGTAGAAAAAGTTGATGCTTAGACCCACCCATTTTTAGTGAATAAATCCTTACATGTCTAAGGAGAAAGACAATGTCGAACTATGTACAATGTATTAATTATTCATGGCTAAATTTAATATAGAAAAAAAGTTACCTGCGCTCTCTCCTTAATCCCTATGTATATTTAAACAAATGGAGGTCATTTAGTCACTCCAATGGCCACTGGAGGGAATGCCTGCCTGCCAATGTCAAGGCAGACCCCCCCTAGACGGGTCCTACTCTAACCCTTCACCTTGCTTCCTTGAGCTTCTGGCAAAAATATCTCTAGTGAGACAGAAAGGGGTATTTTTTATATACACCCCTTTATACTTATTAACCCTTAGTAGGGAACACATGGGATGGGCGGCAGCATTGTAACCTAGCTGTGTGATACAAAAAGTGAATACAGTTATACATATAGTAAAAACCAAAGAAAAAAGTTACCTGCGCTCTCTCCTTAATCCCTATGTATATTTAAACAAATGGAGGTCATTTAGAGATATCTTTGCCAGAAGCTCAAGGAAGCAAGGTAAAGGGTCAGAGTAGGACCCATCTAGGGGTGTCTGCCTTGACGTTGGCAAGCGGGCATTCCATCCAGTGGCCATTGGAGTGACTAAATGACCTCCATTTGTTTAAATATACATAGGGATTAAGGAGAGAGCGCAGGTAACTTTTTTCCTTTGGTTTTTACTATATGTATTAGCTGATGTGTACTGTAGTCGTTGCTGCCGCCTAGGAGTGATGGGAGTGAGCGCAGGACTTTTCTTTTTGTATTTAAATTTAATATAGAACCACTAAAGGGTGATTATGTTCCAAGATGGTTTGTTCTCTTCTGGTATTTATTCCATACTTGTAATAGTCTACTGCATAGTTGCAACCAGGATCTCGTACTTTCTTCAGGATTCCACCCATTGACACAAGGGTTATCTGAAATTTTTTTTGGCCATTTTGTTTTGTCTTGTCTGTCCAATGTTTGTCTAAGTTTGTTGTCTATTTGTATCTTGTCTACAGCGTACACTGATTAAGTATGCTGGTTTATGATATGATCGTTATGTATTGTAAATGTACGCCTTGTGGGTGGAGTTTTGTATAGCAAGTGTTAATATTACATATTATGTCCCTGTTTTCATATGGATCAGTAATTAAAAAAAAAAAAAAAACATAAAAAAAAAATTATTATTACAAATAAAAATTGGAGTTGGAGAATTTTACTTTTTTGACTTAAAATTTGCAATTCCATTCCCAGTGTTATGCACTGAAAAGTAAATAGTGCAGAACTTCATAATTATACTTAACAAGTGAGACTGAGACAGAGTTTTAAATTGTCTTTTTGTTGCTGGTTCCCTCCCCCCCCCATGCCCCCTAATACCGTTAACATATTTCCTTGATGACAGATCAAGTTTACTGGGGGGGGGGGGGAGGAAACACATTTTTACTTTTTTTGAAAATGTATTTGTTGGAGAAACCTGCAGTATGTTGTGAGACAGGGAGTATATATTGCCAAACGAGTATGTTCAGTTCCTGGCAAGCCTTTATTGTTTCCATCTAAGTAATTTAATCCATGTATTAACTGTCCAAACTCCACTGAAAGCCACATAGTCCATCCAACATTGGTCCAGTGTGAATGTTCTGACACATTCATTATTGTTTGGCTCTGCAATGTTACATTCTTGTGGTCCTCCTAGTCCTCAGAACTGGTACATTCATTTTAAGATATGACATTTTTTGGAGATTAATGCTATGGGTGAAACTTCTAAAACTGTACAGATGTCTTCAGATGTACAGGATTACAGTAGTATTTCTTGATAACAGAAACCGCTATCACATATCTGACTGATCCAGTTAATGAACTGATTTTGCTATCTGAAGATTGAGGGTTTATTTTCTTAAAAAGTTAGATTTTTGTACGACTTGATAGCAAACCTCCGAAAAGTTTTCAATTTTAAAATTTTGTTTATGCATGAACCACTTCAGCAGCACTATAATAGAATTCACTGGAGTGAAGGCTTGAGGAACTTTTATTTCAGAGAAGTGACTGTTACCCTTTTACAGACACGTTTTCATTCAGTTGTGGAGAATTGACGGACTTGTAAAATTTAGATTGGAAAAATTCTAATTCTGCTTTTTTTTTTGTGTGGCAATTTCTTGATCGGTTATCTGCAGGTATCAGTTTAATGAAAAACCTTTAATCTGTTTAGTGAATAATTTCAAGTTGATCAAGTTTGGAAAAAACATTTCAAGTTTAAAGTGTATCTGTCATGGTACACACAACGTGGTCTTATATTAAAGAGTATTAATATTCACCAATACATTGTGCTAGCAGAAATGTTAGTAAACATATAGATTTTTATTTCACGCCTTTTAATGTTTTGGCCTCTCTTTACTTGTCAATTAAATCTTGGCATTCGATCAGTAGGCTGGCTGCCAACCAAGTATAATGCTGTGGATTAAGTGAAAGGGAGAGCAAGTGATGCTCTAGCTCCCCAGCAGGTGTTCTTCATGGTTCTTGGGTAGTGTGGGACACACTGACAATAGCACACCGAAGCCAGCATGTCAGCTTCTGAACGGAGGATGGCCCAGCTTGCAGGGCAGGATTATCATAGGGGCTTATGGAACTGCAGCTCCAGGCCAGTCGCATGGAATAATGTCCAAAACACACACACACACGTTCTTGCTCTAAAATGTTGTGTAAAAGGAATTGAATATGGAAACTTAGCAGAAACATCTGAGTTTGATTCCCTGGCAGACTGAAAGTCTATGCTGGGGGAAGAGCAGTGGGTTTGCAAAGGCTACTCTGGAGGTATGGCTGTTATAATTTTTCTGTCTGTAAGACTCTGTAGTCAGGTCCATCATAATCGGCAGCCCCAGGCCCAATATGCTCTTAATCCAGCACTGCCTGCTTGGAGAGTTGTCTACAAACAGGGTCAATGAGACAGTGGGTTTTATGGTACTGGAGTGAAGAGTTGCAGATAGGTAATTCTATAACAGCTCCAAAAGCAGCTAAATGCTCTATAAGAATTTATTTATTTAGTACTTTTGGGACTGTTATAACTCTAGGCAAGGTGAACCTTCTGTGGGTGGGCACACCCACTTCCTGGGTCTCATTCAAGGCCTGTCCATTGGTTCCGAATCCATAAATTACAACATAATGTTGGGAAGTATGTAAGAGTACTTATTTGAGAATGGAAACCTAATTTAAGAGTATTGTTTCCTTGTTCTGGGGATACTGTTGGTTAAAAATAAACCTTCCAGTAGTGGCAGGGTTTTAATTAGATTTTGATAGATAGATAGATAGATATATAGATGTGTGTGTGCGTGACATAAGGTGTGATATAGTTTGGGGTTTTGGGAGCCACCTAGCAATACCCCTGGTTATTAAATTTAGAATATGGTAGGGTAGAAACTGGTTTAATTTAACGGTTTCAGAAAGAGAGGATATATTTCGCCACAAGTGATGTGGAATTAGATCGTACACGCATAGGCTGGAGAGATGAAATTCTATTAAAAAATATGTATTTATTGAAATTTAATTAGGAAAAATATTTACAAAAAAGTGCATGAAAACTTGACAATTATATTATAGAATACAAATATTTACAGATTTGTTTAGCTTTCAGAGAACTCTAATATTTAACAATTAAAAGCAACATTAAATATATTAGGAAACGAAAATGTTTGTTTTATTAAAAGGGAACTATAATATCTCTGGAAATTTCACCTGTAAATGAAACGTTGAAAATCACATATAACTTGTGTTCACCAATTGTACATGAGATGCTCTGTATTCTTTTAAATCTATATCACAGATTTAGTAAATTACATCACAGTCCAAGTCAGACAGGGCAAAGGCATGGCAAACATTGCAAAATAGGAAAAAAACAAACATCGTTTCAATTCTCCTCTGCTCTGTATCTTTCTCTTTGCTGACTGCCATGCACAAAGGACAGGGCTTATAACAGTGACAGACAGCTAAGATGTAGGCGGCCAGTTGTAAGAGAAAGAGGTGTGAATTGCTAGATTTAATTTTATATTTCATACCTCTCAAATACATATTTGTTAAATATAGAAGATATGTAAACATAATATTAAAAGTCCTGGGAAGTGACAGTACTCTTTTAAGCATATTGGATGATGCCGAAATATTAGATTAGGTCTTTTCTATATACATATATTTAATAAATCCATTGGTTTACTGTTTGGCAAAGTAAAACGTGTAAGGGAATTTTCTTATTCTTGAATGTTAGCTGGTAACGTGTCTTTAACCATTAGGAACTGTGACTCGCGATGAGATCTTTTAAGCTTTGCACGGCGATTTTGAAACCAGATCTGGCATTGGAGGAAATAAAAAAGAAAAACTTGTTACAAAAAAAGTAATAAAGCTTAGAAAATGACATACTGTAACTAACAATAACAAAGGTGTCTATAAGTTGCATAGCCCATACTCCTTTCCTCCAAAACATTTTTAAATGTATTCATTAATGTTTATCTGTCTTATCTAGCTTAGGACGTTAATATGTTTCTTTACCATCTGAAATTATGGTAAATTGAAGAGGGAAATAAAAGTTAGAGTCAAAATAGCTGAACAGTTTGCCTATTTTTCCTGAAATTTACAATGGCTTTTTCAAGTCGTAATTTGGTAAATAAAAACTTGTCTTCATATAGTTGCGCACAGTGCGGTGGAGCGTTTATATATAAATATAAATATATATATATACATGGGTTAGGAGGTAATATAATTATTATACCTGTATTCTGTCTTCATCCAATGATAATTTATTGGCAAGTTCTTCTCTAACATCAATTCCTGGGTAGGAATTTACTCTGAAGACGTTCTCGAGAATTTCGATCTGAAAGAGTACAGATACATATATTTACCGACTATACATAATGTTCCCAATGCCCAACAAATAAAGCTTTGTAGAAACCCAAAGAAAATCTTGAATGATTTAGATGTTATGATTTAGAAACACTTGGAGAAAAATGATTGCAAAGAAGTATAAAAATGCATTCTTGTAGTTAATCTCTGTATAGCAAAGTTGCCATGTTTAAAAAACAGATTAAAAGCCGGGGGCTTATTCACATTTATATTCAGAACTTACTTGGTTTCTAGTAAAAGCAGTTCTTGGTCTTCTGCCCCTGTACCAACTCAGTTCTCTCTTGTACGTCAGCCGTTCGCCCCCATTACAGCATTTATCGTATATGGCAGCACTTTCTTTTTCCAGTAAATGACGTACTGTGCCAACTTGTATTGGAAGATTGTAGGACATCACAGGGAGTTTCCAGCCTTGGTTATCAGCTGCCACTGGAGCTAAAATGGCATAAGTACAACTTGTTAATTATTACGTGCCAGGAGAAGGTTCCGTGGAACTTTTCTACAATGTGACCCACAATTTATCATATTAATGTAACATACATCAAAATGAGACCAAGGGAAAAAGACCCTAGCTATCTTTGTGGTATACATATGATACATCACTGTGAGCTCCAACTACCACGTCTCCCTGTATTCAGAGTATGTCAAGCAGTTGGCATAATAATTACATGACACTTGTTAGATTTCCATTACTATCTGGTATTTATTTTATATTTATTTGACATGTGTTGTGATTGAGCGTGTGTATACTTTGTTTATATATATATATATAACACACACACACACCTACATTATATTTAACACATTAAAATAACAAAACAATTAATAAATGTGGCTTATTTGCACTTAAACCTAAAGCCGAATTCAACATTCACCATATATCATAGAATGCATATAAACATCATACACACTAATATAAAGGTGTGCATGTGTGTGTAATAATTTAAATAAGTAGCAATCACTGAAATTTTACATTTTTAGAAAAAGTGAACATTTATTGATTCATTGTCTTGGCCCAGATTGGTGGAAAATTATCTAATTTGAAAGTCATTTAAGTTTATTTGAGGTTTTCTATTAAAAGCCATAGTGGATTTAAATCCATGTGACAATTTGAGCTATACATTCTATATATGTGTATTTTTATATTGTAGAGAATTGTCTTGTAATGAAAAGGAAATTCATGCTACTTGCTTTACAATTTGCATGTAACAGCATATCATTGTCTTTAAAATATGAACATACTACAGTCTAATTTAGAGCCCTAAAATAATTCTTCTATACATGTTAATGTACCAGGAATAACGCTACATACCTCTAATGTTGCTTTGATCCATCCAAGGCCTATGATGTTTACTGAGGCTCGAAGTAAAAGTCTTTTTAGTTTCCAAACCTAAAATGCGTTCGATGGAAAAAGAACATTTTGCTGGTTTAGACTCCACTAAATGTGATCCTTTCTGTAGATTTGGAGACATCATTGGGCCAGCCTTGCATAAGGTAGTGCTTGCCATGATCTTCACCTTGTTTGTATCTTACACAGTGATTGTGGTAAAGTTCTGTGACCCTCCTTATAGCTGTGTGTTGACAAGGGGGTTGGATTTACAACGTCATTAATTAAAATCTTTCATTAGGAAGTTTTAGCATGTGAATGAACATTCCCCCCACCAAGAAGCAAGGGGAGTTAATTGTTTATTTGTTTGGCAAGTAATTAGCCTCTAATGGGGACACTCTGGGAAGTCACCAAGTGAGACAAACTCTTATCTCTACTAACCAGAACATCTACTTAACTTTCTCTAAAGAAACACCGCTTAAGCATCTAACTCCTCTTTTATTCAAAACCATTAATGTATAAAATCAACCTCTTTTACTTTAGAATTTCATAGGCACTCTTTATTGGAATTTGAAAGCATTAGAAAGAAAATCAAGAAATTAATAACCTTTCTCAATTATTTTTATTTTTATAGACAGCCCCCCCCCCACCTCCACGGAAAATAAATAAATAAAATAATCTCTTAATGCTATTAGGATAATCCTAATGAAAATGCCTCCATTTAGTTCATATGCATATGCAGTGGGTAATGTGGCCAATAACAAAACAATAGCTCTTAGCATCAGATTCACTGTGGTGGGTTGGTAATGTTGTTAAAATCCAGTGTAATTGTTTTCTGAGGGTCACAATTAGCTGACATGGTAGGCTGCACCCACCCAGTACTTTAAATCTTAATGTGCTCGTTTATTTACCAATTACTACTTAACTACTTGGATGTGAGTGACTTGCATACCGTGATATTTACAATAAATCAAACTGTTATGAAACCAAGTGTGATAATTTGTGTGTTATTTTTTTTTCTTTTAACTGGTGTACTATGCAGTAAATGGTATTGCATGTACAGGTTGTATAGAATGAAGTCTTCTAATCGCCTGACATTATGAATGAATAACATGCACATAAGATATGGTGTTACATTTACAAATCGTCGCATAGAATGTATATGGATCATTAGCAGTAAAAGGTAAACTTGTATGTACGCAGTTGATGAAGATAAATAGGCATATATACATATATGAAATCTCCTGTGTGCACAAGGTTTGGAGTTATGGTGGGTAAAGTAATCAGGTAGATATAACTGGCACTTCTTCCTAGGGCATAGAGAATTAAGCCAAAATAGATGGATAGGAATTGTAGAGGTTATTTTTGGGGGTTTCCATCTATCAGTGTATAGCTAAAGCTCATCTATGCAAGATAATAGGTATTAGCACTGCATGTCGGACAAAATTTGCAGTTGATTTGGCAGTAAAACTACCTTTTTAAATCTCTAATGAAAGTTAAGCTTTGAGGTTGTAGCTGACTAGCCATGTCTTTCCACCCATCTCTCTGAACTGGGGTGTTGTGTTTGATTTGTAAACAGAACATTATGAGAGATTTATAAAAAAATGTTCTAAAATGTAGTGTAAATTAATAAAAGTGGAGCAATCACTATTTTCAAGTTTCATTACTCTCTCCTCCTCTGACGAGGACTCAAGATGGTTCCAAGAAGCCACCATTTCCAGGCGGAGAAGCTCATTTCTGCCCATAACTCCCTCGTGGACACAATGGTAGCTAAACTTCTTAAACTAGAGGACAAGGTCGCGGATCATGAAGATTGCGGCGCAATAACATACATATTAGAAGGATTCCATTGACATTGGGCCACAGGAGTTTTCCAATTATGTCACTTACCTACTTCAATCTCTTGTTCCAGATCTGCTAGAGAAAGATCTACTTCTGGACAGAATGTACAGATTGCACAGGCCCAAAAAGCTGCCACTTTACAAATATTCGTAGACCACTCATCCCACATAATGCTCAAAAATAAAGTATTTGCTCCCATTCTCAGAGCCTTACGTGAGGCACATTTGATCTACAAATGAGGTGTCCTGGTGAAACATATTTTCAATAGGAATGGCGTGGAGAAGATTATTTCAACCCCAGAAGAAGGCCATAAGTTGTCACGGTAATGGAATATTCGGATGGATTCTGAAGCCCCAACTTCCACCTCACCAAACAAGGCACTGAAAAGGATGCACCAGGACTGGCAAAGAGTGGCTGCATCCAAGAGACAGGACTTCCTGGTTTGGTATCATACTGCTCTGGTAAATACCCCTATTCCTTATAGCCAGAACACTACAATTAACCCCTTAAGGACACAACTTCTGAAATAAAAGGGAATCATGATGGAATATTTCCGTCATGTGTCCTTAAGCGGTTAATTAACTATGTGGTTCCTTTGAGAGTTGTGTATTGTACAAATCATTATTGGAATGTGTTCTATACACAGCTTCTAAGGGTAATTTTCCAACTTCACCCTATTCGGTGGGGGGGGGGATGGGGAGGGAGTTTGTTCTCCAGACGTGCACCAAGGAGATAGCAAATCCCATATAATTTAACAGATTACATGAGCATAATACAGCAATTTACCACGGTAGACAAATATGGCATTGACCATTTTGGACCATTGACCATGAAAGTTTAGAGGCTCAATTCCTTTAATAAATGGAGATTGGCATTAATAAATGGAGAGTGGCATTATCTGAGGCTAAAAAAACATCATGCTCACATTGCCTTGTATCAGGAAACATATTTCAAATGAGGTAAACACCCCTATTTTAATTCTTGTGAATTTCTCATTGACTTTCACTCTTGTTTCAAAGCCAAAGGAAGGTGGCAAATAAATCACACCACTAATATAGGAAAGCAAGGAGGAACTTGCAAAGTGGAAATCTTTGTGGGGCAGGTAAAAATAATACCATAAAACACGCTTGTTATATATTTTTAAATTGTTGCCCATTGCTATACTTGCTTCTTTTTGCAAAACTATTCAAAGATTTTTACAGCTTTCATTTGTGACAACCATAGAGACAGATTCCCAGTAGCCTGGCTGCAATTAACCTTTGCTAAAGGTGGCATTTGTCGTCCCAATATCCACCTTTATTATAAAACATCTATACAACAAGCAGTGGTCACTATGTACTTACCAAGGGGCACGCTTCAATGGTTGGTCATGAATGTCCATGGGGGGGGGAGGTGGGGGTGCTTTTTTCTCTGTATTGGGTTCTCTGTGGACACCCAAGCACCTTAGAGGGCAATTCCCTACCACATATCTCACCATAAAAGGCTGAGATCAATTTATGGCATCCTTTCAATTAGATAACCATGTAGCGCCTCTTAACAGCCTTTAAAGCATTATCACCTTGTCCTAAGGTGACACCTTGGCTGTCTTAAAAGCAGTGGGTCAGTAGAGGGGTAACCTGGGTGGAGCACTTTATAGCAGAGTGGTCAATCCTACCATTCCCTCAATGACCCCATAGCTTTATTTTCCCATACCTATAGATTAAGAGCATTATTAATTCAAGTCATCACGAGAGCACACCTTAACTTTCCATCAGGAACAGCATTCCAGGTGCTATTGGACAGGTGTTGGGTGTCCCCCAACCTAAAGTACTCATTGTGTGTTACAGAATTTTGAAAGACAGGAGTCCAAACACTAGATTCACCTTTATGAAATACTTGGCATTGGAGGAAGGTTCCCAACTGTCAGAAGGGAGTGGGTTGCCTCTATTAATGCCTTTAAAGGCATAACTAAGTGTTATTACCATATCGAGACACATCTCAAATTGGTGTATTACTGGTATTGGAAAGCTAGCAGCCTACTTAAGATTAACATATATTTCTCTCCTGTGTTGGAGATATGGGAGAGAACAGGGCATCAAGACTCACATCTGGTGGTCGCGCACAATGTTGCAACCATTCTGGAACTCGTCCCTTCAACCACCATTTGCCCCTTCATGTTAGCTACTACTGCTGATCCCAACAACCTTCACCAAATAATCTGAAACTTTTGGCAGCAAGACAATTAATATTGCTTAAATGGAAACAATCCAGCAGATCTTCCCTCTTAAGCCTAACTGAAAAAAAAAAACCTTTAACCTATCATATGAAAAAATGTGTGTTGTTTCTGTAGCTCCGAGAATACAATTTGAGAGAATCTGGCAGCCTTTGTGTCATGCTTACCTGTTTCAGCACTTCCTCTCGCCATTCCTACATCGAGTTGGATGCTGCACGCTGCTTGTGTGCGTCTGTTTATATTGATTCAGGTAAGAACGAAATCGCGAATTTAGCAATTCGACAGACTCACATCATCTGGCGCACTGATATGACGAGATCCTATCAAATTAAAATCACCGCTATCTAATTCCCAGGCACTTCTCGTCCAAATCACCCTGTTGTTGGTGTTGTGTCCGCTAGTAAATTTAAATTGTTGTTCCGCACTGACGTCACCGGAGTCGTTGCCTTGGAACTTGTACAGACAAGTAGTTCCTCCTTCCGCTAGAATCGGCTGCAAAAGCTCTCTGTGACAGTGTTTAGATGCCAAACAAGCTAGCAGTACCTCGTGAAAAGGCAGTCGATGTTAATATTTCTAAAGTTTCAAATCGCACCCCTTGGCTGTAAAAGTATATGCTATAAGGATTTATTGCGTTCATGCTGCTAACTTAAAGATAAGTTGTATATTATTCAATGTTTGTATATGAAGCACTGTAGTTCGGAACTCTGTACATATGAGTTGTATTCCATTAAGGTGATTTGATGTAATTTCGCTGTGTATGCAAGTAACTGAACTCCACTTTATAACTGTTTATAATCCATTTGGTGAAACCCTGTAAGCAAATGTATTTTGTATTCTGTCATTTAAATTTTTCACTGTGCTAAAGATATTGAAGTTGGTGGTGTTCAGAGCATTCCTGCACACTTCTATGCAAAGAATAAAATACTGCATCTGTCAGAAGCTCTCTTCTCCCTTCTTTATTGATGCCAAAGGTCTGCTACAGGCTTGTTTACCGTTCATTCTATTTCCTATGTTCATGATATTTGGATTGTCTAACGTTTACTCTGTTTTCTCCTACCCTTGACTTTGGCTATCTCTCTGACTATTCTTAAGTTAAGCACAACCACTCTAAGGTCTGGTAATACAGTATTTATATATTCTGTTGTAGATTAGGGTACGTGTGTTCCTTTACATATGCAGTGACATCTGAACTCTCCAACTGACCATTAGCTACAAAAATTAATTCCACTGGCGTAAGACGGGATTCTCGTACCCATAGGGCTCTATTAGGAGATACATATATATTCAAAAATAACACGTCATTGTATTTATGATTTTTATTTATGTTCTTGTATAACTTTACTATTATTTTGTCTTTAAAGAAATAATGGTAAAACCTGTATGCATGTAAAATTTAAAACACAATATAATACATATTGGGAAAAAAAAGTCAAGGTTGTCTGTACCTCAACCTTGAAGAAACAGAAAGAAAAAAATCAGCGCTAAACTGCCACACAGGAAAATAATAGAACGGCTGCACTCCTCAAAGGGGAGTCCCCTCTAATCCCTTAGTAGTAAGATAAAACACAAAAAAAACACAATAAAATAAGGGTGCGCCTAAAATATATAATAAAATATAGATTAAGTTATATGTAATAAAATATTTAAATTTAATATAAAATGAATAGTTAGAAGTAGTCCAAATAACTTATCATAAGTCCAAAAATGATAGGTTCCACGTGTGGAAAAGGATTCTTGGGATGTAGAATGAAGTAAATCTTCACGGTTGTATGCTTGGAATTCAGTGGAGCATATGTAAAAAGAAGAAAGACAAGAACAGAATTCCAATGGCACAGTATATAGATGAATAAAATTATAAAGTAGTAATAATAGTATTACTCACACTTTTCAGAGCTAAAATCCAGCTCTGATATTGCACGCGTGAAGTGGAATAATCCCCACTCAAGGATATATTTGATTGGCGAATATCTGGCACAGGTTCGGCGTCCAAATTAACATTGTTCGACCCAGAAATAAAGGGATAAAATATAGTGCTCTCTGTATTATAAAAAGGTTTATAAAAATATAAAATTAATTACTCACATTATTTAGAGCAGGCTTGTACTGCTCGGTGTAAGCGCTTGGGTGGTATAATCCCCACCTGTGGATTCTTTAAGCTCCTTGTAGGGTTTGCAATATTTATGTAGTCAGGTAAAAGAGAGAAAATATGGCAATAAAGTATTTTATGCCAAAATAATTTCTTTATTATAAAGTAGTAAAACTAAATCTAAACGTGTTTTGCCTCAAAAGGCTTCTTCAAGTAGATAATAGTAAAAAAAACTTGAAGAAGCCTTTTGAGTTGTGGACTAATGCCATTAAGCGGTCCAGTAGGGCATTTTTTCTTGGATTTTGGTCTTTGTGTTACTAACCTGTGGAACCGAGGTTACCAACCAAGATGCCACAAGTGCTCTCCTTGCAACTTGAGTTATCTTATAGAGGAGTTTCTGTGCTCTTTTTTGGAAACCTTCTATGGGGAGAGGCAGAAGGGATAACCAGAGATCCAGATTAAATTATCTCTGAAAGTTTTCTCCTAATAACTCTCCCACCTCTGTGCAAAAATGAACCACCACCGTGGATGTCCACCACATGCTATAATCAATTTATTTCTGGCCACACGTTCTCCAGCAAGCATTAGAGCCCACCTGGTCCATATGATATAATTCCACTAGAGTTATGTGCGAACAAAATAGGATTTTGTTCATTGAGTTAAGTAGAATTTCCCCCTGACTTGGTTCCAAATTGTGAGGGTTGCCAGAATAGGTGGACAATTAGTTAGTTGGAATGCCCTCTGGGTTTTTTCTAAAATGTAAGACATGGGTAGATCTGAACCTGTAATATTGAACTCCAGATCCACCCACCTCCTATTCCCTAGTGGCGCGTACTACATCATCATTTGTGCTACCAAGAAGGACATAAGGAGGAGGGGAAGTTCAAGTCCCCCTCTTCCCTTGGGTCTGTATAGGGTGTTTCTCGCTTATCTATGTCTTTCATTATAGCATATTTATGTATCTATTGTTCTCTGTATTCCTTCTAAGTCATTATTAGTGATGTCTACTGGGAGGGCTTGAAAAAGAAACAGCAATTGTGGGAGTACATTCATCTTTACACAGTGGACCCTACTATCAGGGTCTTACCTGGAGGTGGGAGTCCAAAGTGCAAAGATGTACGCTCACCCTTGCTGATAAACACAACCCACGGTAATCAGGTAAGAAGTTACCTGGGCTGTGAATCTGTGCACGGGGGCTTAGACAGGAACAATAACCTGGTACAAAGAAACAGACAAGGGCAAATCCAGAAGAGTAGTCAGGCACGGTTCCAAAGGTCAGGGCAGGCAGCGAACGGGCAATAACGAATAATCCAAAAAGCAAGGGTCACAAGCCAAGTCAGTCTGGGAACCAAGGAAACAGAAAACAGGAAACAACGAACTGACACTGCCCTCAGGATAACAAACAAGTCTGGATAACAAACAAGCTGCCTCAGGTGTATTTAGAGTGACAGACAGCAACCACCACAGGTGAAGTCCAGCTCGCTAGTGCTGCAGACAAGGCAAGGATAACAGGTCTAGAACACACTAAATGAATAGGTTCAGCTTGGCTCAGTGGCAAGAAAGCAGGCCCAGGACACCGAAGGATCCAGGAACAAATCCCCTGTTTGGCATCTGTGAGGCTGCCACGCCTAGCCGTCTGGATAGCACGGGAAGAACCCTGACACCTACCTATCCAGGATATTTTCTAAGCCTTTCCTAAGGCTTAAAGTAAAAAGCCTTATTTTTTTTAAATTTTATTTTTGTATTAGTACCTAAACTATAACACATTCATAATACTGTAAAATAATTTAGACAATATTCCACAAAAATAATTTTATTTCTGATGATTCTACCACCATTAATGCACAGACAATCATCGATGTATGTGGGTTTCTTTTTGAGGTTTTGTTTTGTTTTAGGAAGCCATTTCCATTAAACTTCAGAAATATGTGATGTGGATTAACTGAAAAAAGACATACCATATATACTCAAGTATAAGTCTAGTTTTTCAGCACATTTTTTGTGCTGAAAACCCCCCACTCGACTTATACTCGAGCCAGTGTCTGTATTATGGCAACTTACATTGCCATAATACAGACCAGGACCGCCGGGCTCATTACAAGCCCGGCAGTCCTGTTGGGGGCTGGCAGAGAGCTGTTACCTTTCCTGCAGCTCCTGTCAGCTCCCTTCTCCTGTGCTCCGGTCAGCTCCTTTCTCCTCCACTGTAAGTCTTGCGGTGTGAGTGCCGCGCAGAGCTTTGCGACAGTACCCCGTGGCAACGCTCTGACCCCTCGGATCTTGTGAGACTTACAATGAAGCTCACCGGACCGGAGGAGAAGGGAGCTGACAGGAGCTGCAGGAAAGGTATGTAACAGCTCTCTGCCAGCCCCCCTATTACACAGCCCATCCACTGGACCACCAGGGAATGAGAGCCCTCCTCCCTGGCCAGCTAACAAGCAGGGAGGGGGGACGAAAATAAAAATTAAATAATAAAAAAATAATATTACAATAAAAAAAAATGTAAATTTTAAAATTTAAAAAAAGTAAATAATAAAATAAAAAATAATACTAAAATAATTTTTTTTAAATATTAAAATTAAAAATAATAAAAATGCCCTCCCCCATCCAGTTCACACACACACACACATACAAACACACACTCTGCATTGTATACACACACACACACACACAAAAAAAAAAATCGCGGCAGAGGGGGCGGGGTTTACCGAGCGGCGGAGGCGGGGCTTATCGAGAGGCGGAGACGGGGCTAATACCTCCCGAAGCCCCTGCTGTACAGGAAGAGGGAAAGATGCTTCCCCATCAGCCAACTGCATCCACTGGAAAGAGGTAAGTGTGTGTGTGTGACTGTTTGCCTGTTTGTGTGACTGTCTGTCTGTGTGTGTGTGTGACTGTCTGTCTGTGTGACTGCCTGCCTGTGTGCGTGTGACTGTCTGTGTGTGTGTGTGACTGTCTGTGTGACTGCCTGTCCTGTGTGTGTGTGTGTGTGACTGTCTGTCTCTGTGTGTGTGTGTGACTGTCTCTGTGTGTGACTGTCTCTGTGTGTGACTGCCTGCCTGTGTGTGACTGTCTGTGTGTGTGACTGTCTGTCTGTGTGTGTGACTGCCTGTGTGTGTGACTGCCTGTATGTGACTGCCTGCCTGTGTGTGTCTGTCTGTAACTATCTGTCTGTGTGTGACTGCCTGCCTGTGTGTGTGACTTTCTATCTGTGTGACTGCCTGCCTGTGTGTGTATAACTGTCTATGTGTGTGTTACTGTGTGTCTGTCTGTGTGTGTGACTGCCTATGTGACTGTCTGTCTGTGTGTGTCGCTGTAGCTGTGCCATTGTTTGTGCCTGTGCCTGTATGTGTGACTGCCTTTAACTGAGTGTGTGTGTACATGCCTGTAACCGAGTTTAAATTTC